TGTGAATTCGTCGATTTGTGCAACTTATGAAAATCATATGATAAAATTTTAGATGTGACAAATCGGGTGACTGATATACAAGAGGTACGTACGTACGTACGTACGTACCAAAAATACTACATCGTATGCGACACAAAAATATCAAACCAAACAGACAATCCAAACCAACTCCACCAGTATCCAAAAAACTAGCACGACACTTATTTAGCTGACATCATGTTAAATGGCAATTTACTAAAATATATATCTGCAACTAATAAAACTTTAACCTGACCCTATGTGATGCGGCTAGATGAACTTTCGGTGCAGTACTGAAGACGGATACATAGTAATGGTTATGGCGTATAAAAAAATTTTTTATAGACCATTTTTAAATAACCTCACAATAATAACGATGTCAAATAACGAGTCTCAGTAGGCTCAGACAAATGGTTTAGACGATAATCTAATGGTTTTAAGATAATCTAATGGGTTTGATGCATATTCGTTATATCCTTCTTGCATAATAGTGCAGAATAGACCCTCAATAAATCAAAACAATCACCGTCAGACCAATAAAAAAAGATTAAATAAAGGGTTTAGACTAAATTTAGTGACTCTATTCAAGGCCCAATTGAATGTGCCACAGGTTCTGGAGTTTATTTCCCATATGTCGTGCCCCAGATAACAATTTGTCATTCTGGCCGAAAAATAAGAATTTTTTCTTAATATATATATTGATCTACAAAATTTCGACAATCTTACGTACATGACGCCTTTTCAATTAAAAAACCCGTTAGCACAAGCAACGGGATATATTAATATAGTAAACGATAAATAAAAAAAGAAAGCCCATCGTTTTATTAAACCACATTTTAATGTCTATTAGCCACCATATCTAACAGCCACGAGACATCACATTATGAAAATTTGATTATTTACTTTATTAATTTCGCCATAGTCTTTTATTTTTCGTCTTTTATTAATGTTCGTCTTTTCAACGAGAGGTATCCTCTTTCGCGGAGGTTTCGTCAGGGGTTTTGTCTTTCGCAGGGGGTTTCACCTTTCGCAGTTTCGTCTTTCAGGAGGTTAGGTTTTGTCTTTCGTCATATAAAAAGTTTCGTCTAGCACCTATAGTTGTGCGTCTATAAAATGGATCGAATAGTTCAAATCTATATACCAAAGTGAAAAAAAAGCTATCACTTTTGGTTCACATATATTTCAATGTTACAAATTACATTATAGCATATCCAAATCATATCGTGATCAATATGCCTGCTTTATCCCCGACAATGACCCTGGGGAATGTTGGTACTTGGCGGAAGCAGGTCGGAGATTCCATTGAACCCGGTGATGTATTAGTCGAAATCGAAACTGATAAAGCTCAGATGGATTTTGAATGCCAAGAAGAAGGATATCTTGCCAAAATTCTTGTTGAATCTGGTGAAAAAAATGTTAACGTCGGAAAGGCATGTATCATGAAAACTAAAGAATAAAAGTCTGTTAAGTTCTAAAAAATTTAATCAATTCACATTTGAAAACCATTAGCCTATTGCTATTCTTGTTGAAGATAATCAAGATATTAAGAAATTTGAGGACTATGTTCCTGAGCAAAGTTCAACACCCACCAAAGCAGAATCTGCAGAAAAAAGTGAAGAAACTTCAAAACAAGACATACAAAAAGAAGAACCGCGAAAACAACAAGAGGAGTCCGTAAAAAGTCATGCGTCCAGTGATAGAATTCTTGCGAGTCCTGTAGCACGTAAATTAGCAGCTGAGCGTGGGATTTCTCTTGATCAAGTTGCTGGTACAGGACCAAAAAATCGTATTATTAAAGCTGATATATTAAATTTTGTTCCTCCCGCGGCAGAGCAACCGACTCCATCAAAACATGCCGAACCTTCCTCAACTTATATCGATATTCCACTAACTAGCATGCGCAAGATCATCGCTTCACGATTAAGCGAATCCAAGCAATCTATACCACATTATTACTTGACTATTGAGGTGGAAGTAGACAAGCTTTTGGAGCTTCGTGAAGTTCTTAACAAAGACAGTGATGGAAAATATAAAATTTCAGTCAATGACTTTGTGATTAAATCCTCAGCATCTGCACTTATGGCAATGCCTGAAGTAAACAGCACTTGGCACAACGATTTCATTCGGCAGTAAGTTTAATAAATCAAATTAATATTTTAATTATTATTATTTCTTTAGCAATAATAAATGTATTTAATTATTAAGGTATAATTGTGCTGATATCTCGGTTGCCACAGCAACCCCTACTGGGTTGATTACGCCTATTATAAGAAACGCACAAGCCAAGGGACTAGAAGCTATATCTAAACAAGCTAAGGAATTGGCGGTTCGTGCAAGGGAAGGCAAATTAGCACCTAACGAATATCAGGTTTGATTTAAGATATTATTCTACTATCTTTATATATTATTATACTTATTGAAAATGTCATAGGGAGGATCTTTTACTATATCAAATCTTGGAATGTACGGGATTAAAAATTTCACAGCTATAATTAACCCCCCACATTCTTGTATCCTTGCTGTGGGTACTACACAAAAGAAACTCATACCTGATTCTAGTAAGGAAACCGGATACCGAATTGCAACCACCATGCACGTTACACTATCATGTGACCATAGAGTCGTTGACGGTGCTCTGGGCTCGCAATGGCTTAACGTATGGAGAACATATATCGAGAATCCATTAAAGCTGCTTTTATAAACGAAATTGTATTCTAAATTTTTTGAATAAAATTGTTTAAAAGCTATGATTAGCATTTTGTATTAAAATAATGATGAATCCAACCTTTAATGAATCGATATGGTTAAACACTGAGATATAAATTCCCATTGTTAGCATTTTTCATTAATTTACATATGATTGCGATCACGGTGACACAATCAGGGTTCATCATATCTTCCACCTTCGTTCTTATAAAAACTTTACTAAAAATGTTGAAATTCATGGTCCGTGGCGAAAAGCTTTTCTATTAAAGATGTTTACATCGAAGATATTATACTGAGTTATCAAGGAATATTTGATTTAATTATCCCTTAATTTTACCATTTTAGACTATCGATCCATATTATTTTTTCTGTTGCTTTATAAATAGTTCGTGTAATGGTTTTTTTCGGAATGAATCGGATGGGAATATCTCCAATGTTGGTTTTTTTTTTAAAAAAAAAAAATAATAATAATAATTATCATTGAAAAACTTAATCTTGTTCGTTCATAACCTCGTTTTTCTAATCTGTCTTTTATCAACGTCGTTTTTTTTAAACGAAAGCTTCTAGAGCAAATATTCTACAGTAAGCAATTAATTGAAAATGTCCGATACTGAGACCGTCCCAACAGAAGAGACTGCGGAAGTTATGGAAGATCGTGAAGAGACAGAACATGAAAATGGTACCACGTTCCCTTATACGAATGACGAAGTACGAACGGTGTTCTCTGATCCAGCAAACTTCAACGTGAAACATCCACTATTTAATAGATGGACGTTATGGTTCGACAATCCAGGAAAAAAAGCGAATACAGCAAGTTGGTCTCAGAACTTGAAAGAGCTGATCACTTTCGATTCCGTTGAGGAATTTTGGGGGTGAGTCAAATTTTAGCTATCCTTTCGCTTATTTTATTATTTATATTGATTGAAATATGTATATTTTGCAGAGTGTACAATAACATTGTCAAGGCTAGTGAGCTGTCTGCTGGATCCAATTATCACCTTTTCAAAAAAGGAATAAAACCAATGTGGGAGGATCCGGCAAATGAACAGGGTGGTAAATGGGTTATTCAATTTCCTCGAAATAAAACCGGCGAGGAGATCAATACACTTTGGTTGTATACGGTAAGTACAACGACTTTAATTTTAATAAGACCGACAAAATAAAAGATGTTCCAATATTAGCAACATCTTTCATTCAATATTTATCTGCAATTGTTATGTAGCCGGTTCCATTCATTTGATAAAAAAAATTTCGTACGAAACCCTGATGAAGTACTTAACATCGCGTTATTATATTGAATAGATGCTCGCATGTATAGGAGAAGCCTTCGAATATACAGATGAGGTGTGTGGCGCGGTAGTTTCTGTTAGAAAAATTTTTTACAGAATTTCTCTTTGGACGCGTACATCATTTAACAAAGAAATCTGCGAATCTCTGGGGTATGTGTTATTCATGACTTTAACGTCCATGGATTACAAATTTTTGTAGTCAACCTTTTCATGTCTCTATATTTGCATCCGTTAGACGTCAATTGAAACATACTTTAGGTTTAAATCCATCTCAACAACTTGAATTTCAACCACATTCTGATTCTATTAAGAGTGGTAGTCATAGCAAAGAACGTTTGGTTGTATAAATATTGGTATAGAGTTTAGAACCGGGTTATAGTAAACCGGGTCACCCGTGTCAAAACGGTTCAACCGGGTCAAAAATTTACAACT